AGTACGATTGGCACAGGACAGAGCGGAGTTTAGGGCTGTTGTACATAGGGTCGCTATGAGTCGCAAGCGACTAGACAGCACATAACAACAACAACAACACAACCTCACTTTTAGCAAGCAAGAATGTGTCATCTGCATACCAAACGTTATTGGTAAACCTTTCTCCAATCCTGATATCCCCTTCTTCTTCGTAGAGTCCATCATCTTGAATAATTTGCTCAATACACAGACTAAACTGGTATAGAGAAAGGATACAACCTGAGCATGCCTTTTTCATTTTAATTCATATAGTGTTTCCTTGCTCTGTTCAGGTAAGATTCAGTAAATATTTACTTAGTGGAACCCCCAATTCTCAAACTGCTGCTCTTATCAGAATCACCTAGATAGCCTGTTAACATGGATGGCCAAGTCCCAATCCAGTCGGCCTGATAGGGAGGGGCAATCAGTCATTTGCATTTAAATATTTCCATGATGCTGACATTGCTGGTCTAGGAACTACCACATGACAACTACAAGTGTAGCCTTGGAAGCTTAGTGATAAGGAATTGCGCTACCAATGCAAAGGTACGCAGTTCAAATCAACCAGTTACTCCACAGGAGGAAGATAGGCAATCACTCTAGTGTAATTACTGCTTCAGAAAACCCACTGGAGGGTCAGCTATGGTTGGGTTCCTACTCGATGCTACACAACAACAGTGCTGACTATGGGTAGGGAGTCATATTGCCAACTCAAAGGCAGGTGGTCTGAATACACCAGCTACTCTGAGTGATAAAAACGGGCAAATCTCCTCCTGTGTGACTTACAGCTTTTCAAACTACACTAGAGGGTCAGCTAGGCATTGATTCTAACTCTACATCAATGAGGTTTTTTTAGCATACAGCAGTGGGCTTGAGTGTGTCAGAGATGACGAGGGAAACACAGGATACGGCAGGGTTCAGGGAGGCTGTTCATAGTGCCACTCTGAGTTGTACTCCACTCGATGGTATCTAACAACAATAGTGCAAATACAAAACTTGTTTCTTTAGAAGATGGTTGCTTGTCTTTAGTGACTTCTGCTGTGCTAAAGGTCATCTTTCATGGTAAAGAGCTGGACTGCTGAGTTATAGGAAACATTTCTCTCTTTTTTTAAAAAGAAAGTTATTTTCTCCTGGTTAGTACATTCTCAGAGGATGCTGAACCACTAAAGAGTTTCCTTGAATCAGACTTTGAATGTACTGTTTTATAATTTTCAGTATCTTAAAACTAATACATAACACTCTTATCTTGAACCAAAAATGACCTCATATATTAGTGAGGAACATAACTCATGCAATTATATTTTGTATACTATTAGTGTTTTTCCATGTATTCAAAACATTACATGCCTTCAAAATGGGATTGTACTATACAAGTAAGTGCTATTTCCCATGTCTTCTTTAATGAAGCTTAGCAGAATTGCTTAAAATCTGTGTTTTTAAGAACCTGTATAAATTTTAAAAGTTTATTTATCTGGGTCATCAATAAGAAAAAACGAACACATTGAAAGTAAATTGTGTTACTCTCCTAAAAATTTCCTTTTTCTTGACAATAATAATCAAACTCAATCAAATTCATTGCTGCTGAACTGGGTAAGATCACAGCTGACCCTCCAGCAGGTTTTCAGAGGTGATAAAGAATAGCATAGAAGGAAATTTCCCATCACTTTCCCTTGGAGCAGCTGGTGGATGAAAACTGCTGTCTTTGGGTTGACAGCACATCTCCTATCTACTAGATCATTACTGATTTGTCTATTTAAGATCCTTTAGCAAAAAATGTACAAGGAGATATTTCCCCTGAGTGTGTACTTCTTGTGATTATAAAGGATGTGCAACTGACATCTAATTCAGAAAAGTAGATAACTGAATATTAGGAATTGTGTCTGTATGTGTATGTATGTCACATAGAAAGATGTGTAGTCTACTCACATAAGATATGCAACTTTGGAAACTCTTTGGGGTAGACCTACTAAAAGTCAGAATGGACTCAATGGGCTGGGTTTGGTTGTGTGTTTACAAATGTGTTTGTATAAGAACAGACCCAGAATAGTACACAGAGACACACATACTTTCACCTAGGTATTTATGTATGGATGTGAGAGTTTATGTTTAAACACAATACAATTCAAGGTTCCCAGCACTTTTAACTGACCAACACCTAAATAACTTACCTCTTGTGCTTCGTGGGCTATTAGTTGGTCCATTAACAATCTCCGCCGTCTCTTCTCCCTTTGCTCGCGTGCAAGAGCATCTTCTTTAAGCCTCTTCTGAATTTTTTTAATGTACTCATCGTCCGAGTAAGTGTTTAACAAATCAGAAGTCATCTGGCCAGCTGTATCTAAAGAGGTCTTGGATGCACT